AGATGGTCACAGGAACAGGAGAGGAGAAACAGTCCAGGAAGCAATGTGGACTGTTTAGCTAGAAATAGCTAAAAAGCAGAGGCAGAAAGCAGAGCAGAAGCAAGAGCAGAAAAAGAGAGCAAGCAAAAGCACCAAGCTGAAGCTGGAAGTGAAAACACAGTCTTATGTACCACTTTCCTCTGTGTCTTGATAAGAGAAACCCAAACAAAACTTCCGCTCTTCAGTGCCGGTCTTAAAGGCACAGAACAGATGAATGGGGATATACAAGCATCATAACGTCACCCCAGGACAACTGCCCATTCCTATACTGAGTTTCCCTAAGCAAGAAGTTTTCATATGCTTCTCAGTTTTGCTTTTCTTTTCACTAACAAGACAGTATGAGACTTGGGAATACCAGGTGGTGCCTTGTCTGCAGTATACCGAGGACAGACTGCAGGTTATACCTTTGTGGCAATTGAGAAGAGAGATAAAAGTTATCAGTATGCATCTTGTAGCACTAATTGTTTTCATTTTAAGTGAACAAAAAGTATCCAAATGAACAAACAACGGAAACAGATGCCTTTCACTCTCTTTGGTCTTCAAGACATCAATCTATTCTTAACCATCCTTGGTTTTCTGTTGCAAATAGAAGCAATTTTGTGATCTTCCTTATTCCTCTTCTCTTTGGACACAAGAGCAAGGAGAGATTAGTCATCTCATCTTTAACAAACTGTTTTCTTGACAAGCCAACTAATTACCTTTAACTGTTCTTCTTCTGGCCCATTTCCTCTTGCACTTAGCATTTTGAAGATCACAGAACTGGTTTTAAGCACTGTAAGGGTTTCTTTAGCATGCTCAAAATACTTTTTGTGCTGCATCATTCATATAAATTATTGTACCTTTGATTTATGTAATTTGTATGCCTGAAATGGATGATTTGTTTAACTGACATCACTATAAAAAAACCCCCCAAACAATGTTACAATTATGCATTAATAATTCATACATTTTTTAGACATTTGTTTCAGTTAAATAAAATAGAAATGTAGCCACATAAAAATCCATACATTTTTAAGCTGATTAGATCAATAAAGTATGATCTCATGAAGGATTTTATTATTATACTTCCTTTCTGTGGTGACTGACTTCAGAAAAAGAGTTTCTGTACCTATTTTTGTTTTGGAACACTGCAAAACTGTAAGTGGATTTATTCAAGATAATTCAAAACATTCTGGTACCTCAAAAGAACTGTTTTTTGTAATGATTTATTATCGAAAATATTATAAAAATAATAATAAAAAAATAAGCCTAAACATTCTGTCCAGTTGCTTTAACATGGATAAGATAACAGCATGAGCCTTCACAGTGGAATAAAATGTTTCAATTTTTTTTTTCAAAATCGGATTATTTAATTGAAAACACTTCTAGAATTTATAGCTGCAGAGGTAAATCTGGAGAAATGTGTGTCATAATATCCATCTCAGTCTATAAAGACCTTCAAAAAGTATTTGTGAGGAAATCAATACTTAAAGAAATTTTTTTATATGATTTAAAGTTTCACTGATGATGAAACAACTGCTGTTTATTGGTGGGCAGCAGAAAAACAAGACAAAGGCAAATATGCCGAAAACATATGAAAATAGGAAACTTTAAAAACTATATGTATTTACAGTCTAAACATCAACGTCAACTACATCTACTGCCATTGGCATTAGACCAAGAATTTTATCTTTAGGCACAACTACAAAAATCTTCAAAATAAAGCTTCCATCCATATGGTACCATAAAGCTAACCTAAATATGCTATCTGAATATATCTCTCATATCAGTGCCTCTAAATAACCTACATGCAACTAGAATGAAAGTCTATAATTTTTTGTTAAGTTTAACTTCTTGATGTAGTTTGCATAATCTGGAGCAAGACTCATTACAAAGAAGAAATTAGTGTTTAGTTAAATTCAACACATTCACCTTCTCTTGTGATTAAATCAAAAGAGAACCAGGCAATTTAAATAAGTAATACCGTATCACAGAATTCTATAGATTATTACAATTGTGTCCTGGGGTGACTTTATGATGCTTGTATCCCCCTTTGTCTGTTAAGCCTAGAAATAAGTTTTGCACCTTTAAGACTGGTTCTCAGAGGGAAGGGAGGGGAGAGAAGAAGCACAAAGTTTGTTTTCAGAAACTGTGCTTGCTCGGCTGCATCCTTCTCTGCACTGTGCTGTCTGCGGACACACAGCAGGACAGAGCTCTCCTTTGCTTTTAGTAGGTTTCTAGCTAGCTGATGCAGAGAAATTCCCTGGCCTGTAGTTTTCATTTTTTTCCCTTAGAACTCTTTAGACCTTCTCTGGACTGAACACCCAGAACAGCACCCGCAGCTCACACCTGTGGCCCACTGGGCAGGGCCTGGGCTGCGGCATTTCCAGTGCTGGAGGGATCGATAAGAGATTGAATGAACTGAGCTACAACCCATGAAAGGAATTTTCTGAGTTTTTATTTTTTTTAGAGCAGCAAAAGGTCTTATCGTTTAATGTGTTTCATGTTTTTTGTGCTGGTGGATGCTTTACCTATGAAATAAAGTTTTTTCCCACTTTTCTCCAAAGAAATATGTTCCCAACCCAGTCGAAGGAGGGACCACTTGAATCTGCTTTCTAGAAAAACCCCTTCAGAAGTTTTCTAACGAATTTGCCCTAAACCAGGACAAACTGAAAAACAGAAACTGTGTTTACCTAGCAACAATACTATGTGTATTCCTGTTCCGATACTAAAAAATGACTACAATTCAATACAAGTAAGTCCCATATACTTCCAACTGTATCAGTAGTGAGGAAAGGGAAGAATGAAGTGGAAAAGCTATATTCTGGCCTAAAAAATGCCATCTGACTTTGAATTAAAACTGTCCTAGAATTGTAACTACTGAGAATTGAAGTCCTGGTTTTCACATAGTTAACAAAAGCTGCTCACAAATTGAAGTTGGGGACACAAAAAGGAAAAAAAAAGATTTTGATGCAGCTATAGTTGGAAGGCAGATTTATTTATTAGTAGTGTCTCTTGTAGCTTCCCTTCCCTCTCATGAGGTGTGGAGGGTGCAATTTCAGTGACTCTGCTGTAATTCTTCTATAAATCTTGCACAGATGCTTTAATGTCAATCAATCCTGTCTCTCTGTAGTAGCTGACTGTCTCCCTAGCACTGCAATTCTATTCATTCAATTCATATTGAATTCTATGGATGTATTAAAGGGACAGTTGGCTAGCACGGGGAAGACAGGGTTGATTGACTGGGCTTCTGTGCAAGAATTACAGTAGAATTACAGCAAAGATGCAGAAATTGCAGCCTGCTGCTCCATAGAGGAGTTTGAATGGAAATGGTCCTGGAAGGGAAGAATTGTACCTATAAGAGATGTTGCTAATAGTAGGAAAGTCTCCCTAAAATTAATCTCCATTAAAACAATTTGAGGGAAAAAATAAGAAAGCTAAAATTCATTTTGAAGTACAGTTGTTTTGAAAAAGAATATAAAATAATTGAAACATACTGGGTTTTTTTTTAAATTACTGTGGGAAAAAACTGTTTTTCTAAGAATTCTAGTAATGCTATGGTGTTCTGACAGCCATACTCTTCTATATCTTTGATCATCTAAATATCAGGGATATATCAAAATCTAAAAGCAGGTTTTGTGCAGAGAAATAGTTAAAGTGTATTCATTAATAAAACAGAGGTTGGCATTTCCTTCCTGATTCTTCATTCCAGTGACAATTTAAAAACACACATACACAGTTTTTCATTTTTTAACTGGAATTTCTTATTTCAAGTACAAAATAAGCAGTTATTTGTTGAGAATTTCAGATATGTTATTAACATACACAGACCAAAATCACAGACTTTAAACCAGGCAAATCTTAAGTTTATCTTTTGAAAGTGATTTACCAGAATTTAAATGCTTTTGACTTAATAAATCTGTGCTTATTTATATTTTATGATATTATGATCATTATATGCATCTGGGCATAGTGCAGTGATTTAAAAACCTCACTGATTGTCATTGGGCTTTAATTTGCTGTGTTATGAAGTTCATAAAAATATTGCTTATGCTATGAGAGACACACTTAGTAAAAGGTTTATATTATCCAGTATCTTCAAAATATTTTTGCAGTGTGCTGTAGCTTTCAGCTGCTTCTTTTAAATTTTTGGTGCAGTAATGATCTTATATAATCTTATATAAAACATGCATTAAGTTAGGATATTCTTCCATTCAAATCTTCCAATCTAGAATACCTTTTTCCTACAACTTGTAGGTTATTACCATCATTACTTTTTTTACCTCTTTTGACTATTTTCTATTTTTGCTATAGGTATTTCATTTTTTATCCCTTTTTCAGTTTCATCAGTTTTGTTCCCTGAAATAAATAAGAGGCAACTATGCATTCAGATCAACAGGAAATAAAATTTAGTGGTATTTTTTTTCTTGATACAAAAATACCTGCCCCAGAACAGACGACCTAAAAGATTTCTACTGAAGGAATATTACAAGCTTTGATTAACTGTTGTACTAATTAATAATATTCATACAAGTTCTCTAAGATATCAACTTATAATTTTTAGTATGGTTATGTATAGAGTTAGTCAAACCAGACTTTGGAAGATCTAGATATCTTTGTTCTCTCTGATCACAATTACTGTAGGCATAGTTATGTGACCACCTCATAGTTAATGACAGGATGGAGTTGTGTTCTGCTTCTGGTAAGGAGCAAAAATCTCAATATTCTGAAATGCATGTTATGTTTTTTATGACAGAGAAACAGAGGATTCAGTGCCTTTTTTTTTTTTTTTCCAGGGGCTTATTTGTCCTCCCTGCTGAATTATCAATTCTTCCACTCTGGACAGTCCATTGGCATTACTGCACCCTATGCATATCACCTGTGTTTGGCTGATTGAAGAAGAAAGTTCACCAGTGATGGATACTATGTCAAACACTATTTGCCTAGTCTGCACTTACAATTATGCTTCTCTGTGACTTATAGAAACAGTGCAAATCCTAATGGTGAGCTGAACAATTTCCATGGTTCAATTTCAGGAACTCTTCAGGCACAGGAGGAAGCTCAAGTCAGCTCCTTTAGTCAGGTAGCTCTGCATTATGTGTCTACAGTCTGGGAGAGTCAGAAAAGTGATTTTCCATATGATAACAGTTTGGATTGTGTCTTCTCCTTTCTCTTTGCTCCTCCATTTCCTTATCCTCCAGATTTCACCGATGCTTTTGGAGACCTGGTGTAGCTGTGGACTTGAAATATTGTACTAAACCATTTACTAAAAGGGCCCCACCATAGAAAAAAATCATATTTTTAACACAATAACTTTCCCATCACTTGCTCACAGAAGGACACAGACTGAAAAAGTACAGGAAGAGTAGTGCAGGGGCAGGATCAACCAGGTAAAGGCAACATATTCTACAATTATTCTATTTTTATGATATAAAGAATTCTCCGTTCTCGGCCTGTTGTCTCTGCCCGGTTAGGGGTAGAATGGCCTTGGGACAGCCTGCGCTCCAAAGGACGAGTGCACTCTTCAGATTTTTCGGTCTTCAATATTGTTTATTATTTCTTATCTACAAAGTCATCTCCCAGCCTGAAAGAGGTCTGCCCAGCAAGACAGCCATGGGCACACTGACCTCCCACTGGGCGGTCATCTATTTTTATACTAAAAACTACATATAAGATATTTACCTTTGCCTTCCAATACCTTTTACCCTTATTAACAAGTGCACATTTAATATGAACCAATCCCAAAGTGCCAGCATCACCACCAAAGATGGGTGACAAGAAGAAGAGAGAAGAAGGACAAGACAAGCCCTAATTCCTCCTTCTTGTCTCCTAAAAACCCCCCTGTACCAAAATCCCACAGCCTGTATTTTCACCCTGTGAATAATCAATTCCTTCACCACTTATCCCCAAGTGATCCTCTTGTCCTCATACAGGTGGCACATCCCATGCAGGGTCAAAATCCAACCACCTTCTGGCAACATCCAAGCACTTCTGGCAACATTCCAGGATTTCCGAGCCCCCCAGGGGTTATCTCAGCAACTCTGGACATCAGGAGTGATGTGCTGAGTTCCCACAAAGAATGCCCCTGCTTCTTTTAGAATTTCAATTAGAATTACTTGATGAATGTATTCCCTTATATTTGTTTACTAATGCACCTATGCAGCTATTAAGACTTTTTCTTTGGTAGGGCCTTTGGATAGGGTTTTTTCTCCTGAAAGCTAGACCTTATTTTTCTTAGTCCTGGAACCCAAGGTTTTAGTGTGCTGTCTTAAGTTTCTTGTATCAATTCTATGCTCTTAGTAATTTCTTGTGTTTACTGCTTGCCTAATATTTTCACATTTTATTTCAAATTTCTTCCTTCACTTTGATACAAGTGAAATTTCATCAAGTTTGTTCTCTGTCTTGAGAGAGGGTGTTCTCTTATTTCTGGGCCTTGCTTGAACTCAAGAGCAGTTAATTCCTTTCAAATATATAGTAAAGGTATGAGAAATTTTTGCTCTTCCATTTGGTTTCTCAAGGGAAGTTATGTTAGTTATTTTTCTGTTACTTGAACTCTGACATATAAGGAAAGTCATTCAGAAATCTAAGGAGAAAGCATTTGATATTATGCTTCCATTATGCATCCTCACCTTTACTGGGAGGATTTATTTGTATGCAAGTTGCCTTTGCCAGCTGAGCAAAGGTAAAGCTCTACAAGCTGGCTGGCATGGATGCAACTATACAAAATGAAAATAATATATACTTGTACAGATTATGCTTTATGTGTTCAGAAAAGGTCTTACAGTGTAGTTTTCCTACATTTGGTCGACACAGGTGCAGTTAAAAAAATAATCATATTATTTTAGCTGTAGGCTGAGTCACATCTAAGCTGTGCAATATAATACTGCCCTTGGTCAGAATTAGATGAGAAAATATGTTATGGTGTCAGGTTTATGCACTGAACTCTATTTTTTTTTTTTCAGTGCATGCCATTAGATCTCCATATCAGGTTTTAGGATATATAGTAAAAAATTCAACATTTCAGAATTCTGAAACAAACTACAATAGCAAATAATATATAGTAGAATATATTATATAAATAATGTCATATCATGACATTTGATTGTTTCATTACTATCTTTGGCATAATACAAAAAAAGGACATGTTTAATGAGAATATTAATAGTGTTATGTTGTAATAATTTTGACAAAAGAACATGAACATGCTGTGCCAGCATTTGACAGAATTCGTGTGACTGTTTTAATAGGAAACGGCTTTTACATGCCTCACTGATACCTGTGCTTGAACCTGTGCTTGTATGAGGCTCGTCTAGACAATGATATTAATGGCTTCAGCTAACATGAGCTACAGACTGGCAAAAAGACAGGAGCTGTCTAGTTTATGCTCATTGTAAAGAAAGCATAGCAGCTTGGAGGAAGTAATTAAGGCTCAAAATAAAAGTGAAACCCCTGAGATTTATTAGATGTTCCTTAATTAGAATTATTGGCATAGTTTTGGAAATTTAACTGTTACTGGTTGAACACATAACAATGACCAGCAGTGCTTTCCTTTTCCTGTACCTACTTAGAAAATTGCAACCTCTTCTGCCACATGTGTATATTAGAGCTGACCATTCCTTTACTGTCTCTTCATTGGGCTACTGAGAAGACTGGCATGACCAGCAGGGCTAGGGAAACAATTGTCCTGCTGTGCTCAGCACTGGTGAGGCCACAACTTTAGAACTGTGCTCAGTTTCAGGCCCCTCATTTCAAAGAGAACATTGAGGTACTGCTGTCCAGAGCAGCACAACAAAGCTGGGGAGGATCTGGAGCACAAGTCCTCTGAGGACCAGCTGAGGCAGCTGGGGCTGTTTGGTGTGGACAAAAGGAGGCTTAGAAGAGACCTCACTGCTCTCTAAATTACCTGAAAGGAAACTGCAGCGATGTGGTGCTTCATCTCTTCTGCCATATTTCAAGTGAAAAGATGAGAAAAAATGACCTTAGATTGTGCCAGGGGAGGTTCAGATTAGATATTGAAAAGTTATTTTTTTTCACTGAAAGGGTTGTCAAAGCATTGGAATGGGCTGCACAGAAAAGTGAAGGAGTTACCATCTCTGGCAGTGTTCAGGTGGTATCTGTATGTGGCACTTGGACATCTGGTTTCGGGGTGATTATGGTGATAATTGGTTGACAGCTGACGGTGTGATTTTGAAGGTGTCTTCCAGTCTTGGCTATTCTGTGATTCTAATTACTCTCTGTAAAAATATTACTATTGCAATTATTCAGAGACTGAAGCTGGACTTGGATGTGCTGCTCACATGACATTTGTGCCAGGTTAAAACATTTTGTTCCTATCCCACTCATCTCTCTTTTCCTATTTTTCTTATTTACTTCCCTTTAGAAGACCATGTTCTACCTAAGGGAAGAAAACCTTGCTATTGTTAAATATTCAAGACTTTTTTGATTATCTAGACAGAATCCTTTTAGAGAGTTATGATACATGTACATCTGCCAGCAAAGCAGAGGAGGTCAAATTAGGAAGTGGTGAGTCTCCATCTATGACCTGGGGAAGATAATCTGTTTGTAGAACTCCGCTGCAGCCAGACAAGTTTGCCTGACCAATCTGATGTGGTCCGTAGTGACTTCAGTAATTTGGATACTTTGCAGAGCACTGACTATGCCTTCTTTTCCAGATGGTGTTTATTTTGACTTTAATATACAAATTGAGCTACACATTTCCTTACCAGAAAGATTTCCTCACTTTTTTACAAATGAAATGGGAATAAGTTTATCTACCCTTTTTTTGTAATTTTAAGAATCCAGAGGCAAAAGTTCTCTACAACACTTTTATGACACTTTATTTGTTAATATATCAACAGAAAACATTCTCTGATATGCAGCTTGAACTTTTTCATTCTTACTTTAATCCTATTACTGCTGTTTAAATCCCTGTTTATCATCCTGAGCGATTCTTCTCCTGCCTTGCATTTACACTCCCAAGATATTCAGGGACTGCTATCAAGTCCCCTCATTTCAGCAAGGAGGAAGCCATGATATATTTTATGTTAGAGGAAAATGTGATATATTTAATATTTATTTATTTATAATTCTATTTCTGCATTGCTCTACCTCCCCTACAGTTTTGTGACAGTTTCTGTTGTCCAAAGTGCCTTTACCTTCTGGGTAGAATTTTATCAATACCAAATCTACAAAACAGTGTGAATTTCAGCTCTTCTCTTTCTTGAGTGACACAAGTCCCTATGATAGCTTAAAAATTAGTTTTATACTGGGTACAAAGAGAAAGACTATGATTCTATTCTATAATATGTCTGGTTTCTTATGAACATCCCAAACCAATGGTGCCTTTGTAACTTGTGTCTAGGATGTTAATTATGTTCTAGTACAAATACTTGTCCAATTCAGTGCTGTGATCAGTGCAGTAATTAACTTTTAATGGCTGTATTGTCACAGTTGTGTAGAAAACCAGGTCTGACATTCATGCCAGGCACCAGAGAAACAAGAACAAGACAGTCTTTTCAGCCAAGAGCACACAGTCTATATAAACCCAAAGAACTAAGAAAAGATGGCAAAAATGAAAAGAATGAATAATAAGACAGGAATTAGAAGAAAACAAGAAGACACAGTGGTCAGCATGTGGTTGCTGGTTTCACACATGGGAAGTCCTGTGGCTTTCTTAAGACAGCAAACATTCTTTCTCTCATTAAGTATGTTTCAAGTAATTTTGTTTCAGATGTTTGCATAAAGAAAAATCCATGTTTCATTTTCTGTATTTCTGATCTGTCCAGATGATATTGTGTTAACTGTTTTTGCTAAGTGATCTCTTCTTTGTTACTTTTCTCTCCCCATTTCTTTGATTTGTATTTGGTCATCTCTCTTCAGTATCTTCAGTATTCTCCAATCTTTGCATTTAACAGGATAACATATTGGTAATTATTTCCACGTTATTAAAATTTTAGAATGTGTTTTTGTCATAGTAGATATG